ATGCCTGCATACACATTATATTGATTTCTACATATATATGTCCACAATACCTACCAATCTGTACAGATCGAACAGACATATTCTGTTGACGATCGTATCGCCAACAAACGTCGTTAGCCCTGGATATAACGGATTAATTGCCCCATGGCCTACAAATAAAAACGAATGCAAAATAAAGGATAGGATTAGTAAACTTAGTTTATATATTTATTATTGTTTATATTTTAAATTTAGGACTATATTAGGGTTTAAGGTTTTTAGGTATGTAATGTATGTATTTATATATACATACTGAGGTGATGTTTGATGCACAAGCATATATACACTTAACAAGGGATGAAGATGCAAAAGAAATGATAATGTTGTTCAAGCGATTCTGAAACGTAGTTTATTTGTGTAATATTAAATCAAAGCTACATATGGTATTTTTATATATATCGTCATAAACTATTGCTACATACTTGTACACGCACATATATAGAAAACCAGCATACGTTATTACATAAACGTATACCTGCACATGCACATGTATAGAGACACCAGCATACGTTCTTACATAAACGTATACCTGCACATGCACATGTACACAGTCACCTATTCAGTGTTTAAGGTTTTACATACGTGAATACACACACGCAAATACCCTTACAACGGGCTGATCTACCCGTGTACACACATGAGCACAGGCACCTACCCGCCAATAGGGCACACCAGAACGGGGCAAAGGACAACAAGTCCACAATGCCGAAGAATGAGGTGCAGTAGTCCAAGCGAGAGCTGTACTCGTTATCCGCGGCGGCTGAGGGGACGGGTCAATTGAGAGGAGAATAAATATTAGGACTGGGGAATATGAATGGGCTGGTATGTATGTGAATACTCAGTATTTATGTTCCTGTTTGGATGGATATAGTATATGGTTATATGTATACGCGCACACACACACACACACATATATATATACATACGTAAATGTATATACGTATATGTATATGCCTATGTATATGCATATGCATGTGTTTGTATGTATATAGTAGGGTGCAGAATATGAAAAGACTCAAGGGATATTGTAGTCCATTTATACACTAAACGTGAATGTAGATACAGTTGTGCGACGTTCTGTAACTGCATGTTTAGACATACAAATATATAATATATACAGCTTTTAGTATGTACATTATACATATATAGTGTACATATATAGTATACATACACACACCTCTCAAAAACACGCTTCATTATGATGAAAAACCAAAACAATTAGACTCTTACGCATCCGCGTTCACATTTCCTGAGCTAAAAGTTACGACATCAAAGAACAGAATGCACCGTATTACTATATGTATATATATATATATACATACATATATATATATATACATACACATATATATGTATACCAATGCGTGTGTAGATGTGTGTTATGCATACCCGCGAATACGCGAGCGATGTAGTCGCCAGTGAACACAACACATCCTACGACATCGAAGTACGCGAAGAACGACGATCCGAAGTACTGGGTGGCATCCTCATCCGTGCTGGTAATGGTCAATTAACAAGGACTTATTGTGAGATATACAAGGCGAGGAAACAGATAGCAGGAACGGAAGAACATTGCACTGGAAGTGTCAGACAAGTCTGTCAGATGGGTACAACGAATAGATAGCAAGCACTGGGCAGTATGTATTTAAAACCAAATGGTTATACATAGGGACAGTAATTAGAACCAAATACGATTAACAATGCAAGCACTGGGCAGTATGTATGTAAAACCAAATGGTTATATATAGGGACAGTAATTAGAACCACATACGATTAACTATGTAAGTACTGGGCAGTATGTCTGTAAAACCAAATGGTTATATATAGGGACAGTAATTAGAACCACAAACGATTAACTATGTAAGCACTGGGCAGTATGTATGTAAAACCAAATGGCTATATATAGGGACAATAATTAGAACCACATACGATTAACTATGTAAGCACTGGGCAGTATGTATTTAAAACCAAATGGTCACATATAGGGACAGTAATTAGAACCACATACGATTTACTATGTAAGCACTGGGTAGTATGTATGTAAAACCAAATGGTTATATGTAACATGGCAGGGATGCACATACTATCAACTATGACTGAGTATAGTATGTATGTAAACCTAAATGGCAATATATTGGGACAGTAAATAGAACCACATACTATTAACTATGTAAGCACTGGGTAGAATGTATGTAAAACCAAACGGCAATATTTTGGTACAATAAATTGAACCATATGCTATTAGCTTATGATACCATATAAACATGTACAGCCCATCCGATCTAAAAAAAGTACAGCACAGGCAATCTGAAAATAGTACAGCACAGGCGATCTAAAAATAGCATAGCACAGGCAATCTAAAAATAGCCCATCAAAGTCAATCTAAAAATAGCACAGCCCAGGCAATAGAGAAATAGCACAGCAGAGCCAATCTAAAAATAGCACAGCAAAGCCAATTTAAAAATAGCACAGCCCATCCGATCTAAAACAGTACAGCACAGCCTGTATAAAACCTGTACCTACCTGTATATGAACGATAGCAGATTGGCCACAATCAACGCCAACAGCGAGTACTCGTACGCCCGACCGAGAGGGGTGTTGCCCTGGAATTGGGTGCAAAGGTTGGGTTTCAAGGTAATGGAAGTGCGGTACATTATTTTGGTATTCAGGTGCGAGTCCTAGTAATACTGATGATGGAAGAGGAGGGTCTTCGGGGGACAATGTAAAATTGGGTCTAATTAAGCAGAGCCGATATACTCAATAACGCGACCCAGAGGCGTGTTGTCCTAAAATTAGGGGCCGTGGACTGACCTGGATGTACAGGACAGGGCGTATTCTAGTTGTAAGTATAAGCGCGCATACAGTACTCGGACCGAACACACACACGCACACACACACACACACACACACACACACACACACACACACACACACACACACACACACACACACACATATATATATAAAATATACGAAATATATAAATAGAAACACACACACACACACACACACACACACACATATATATATATATATTATTTGTGCGTAAAAGAGTATACACCATGATATACTCACCTATCTATACACATCACATACCTTCAAGAACAACTCCACTCGTGCAGGGGCTCCGTTCAGCTGTGCTTGACGATAACGACAGTCCAAACATTTGGCAGTCGCTTCAGCTTCACTTATATCTTCAGTCTAGGGGGTGTGAATGGGATACAAACTTATTGCTATTATTTTTACGCGTCGCAAAATATAAGTTGTTGCAAATTACATGTTGCAAAATGGTGCTGTAAATAATCTATTTGATAAAGTATATAGTATATAGTATAAGTTATATATCATAATATATATATATATATATATCCTATTCATAAAATATTATTAACAAGATAATATTGTTACGATATACAATATATTATCCCTAGTTATATAAGTAATAAACAACCTACTGAAAAGTTATGTAATGAAATTAATACACACATCCTACACTAGACTACTCACCTCGGTTAAGCGTAGCACTCGCTTCTTCTCACTCACCAGATCAGAGAAGCCTTATTAGGGGTAGATATTTAGGGTTTAGTGTTTAGTGTTGGGTATAGATATTTAGAGTTTAGGGTCTAGTATTAGGGGTAGATAATTAGAGTTTAGTTTAGGGGGTTTAGATTCAGTACGTATAAGAATTTTCTGAAGAGCCTGATCAGAGGTAGGTAGTTATGGTTTTAGGGGTTTGAAGGTCTTAGGGTTATTAGGGCTAGGGTTCTACGATTTGGGGCTTAATGACCCGATGTTTAGGGCATTGAGATTGAAGGGCTTCAGAGAGATAAGGTCTCAGGTCAAAAAGATATTTAAATACAGAGCTTAGGTAAAATACACATTTGATTTCAAACATAGCATACAGCGTATAGCAGAATCAAACAGTTCAATTATTATCGATCGGATCACACTTGAGGCTAAAATATAGATATATACATGTAAACAAATATACACAAAAAAGTGTACATCCAACCCTATATATCCATATATATATATATATATATATATATACATACACACACACACACACACACACACAGATATATATATCTATATAGACACACAGACATATATACATATATACATACATACATATATG